CCCCGGACAAGGGGTTATTCCCGGCCGCTGCGGGGCGGGAAAGGGGGTAATCCCCGGGACCCCCGCCCAGAACACGGGGTGATCCCCGGGACCCCCGCACCAGGACAGGGGGTGATCCCCGGGACCCCCGCACCGGGACACGGAGTGATCCCCGGGACCCCCGCCCAGAACAGGGGGCAATCCCCGGGACCCCCGCCCAGAACACGGGGTGATCCCCGGGACCCCCGCACCAGGACAGGGGGTGATCCCCGGGACCCCCGCACCGGAACACGGGGTGATCCCCGGGACCCCCGCACCGGGACAGGGGGTGATCCCCGGGACCCCCCCACCGGGACAGGGGGTGATCCCCGGGACCCCCGCCCAGGACACGGGGTAATCCCCGGGACCCTCACACCGGATCCCCGCTCGGGACACGGGGTAATCCCCGGGACCTCCGCACCGGGACAGGGGGTGATCACCGGGACCCCCGCCCGGGACACGGGGTGATCCCCGGGACCCCCGCACCGGGACCCCGCACCAGGACACGGGGTGGTCCCCAGGACCCCCGGCCGGGAACACGGAGTGATCGCCGGGACCCTCACACCGGGATCCCCGCTCGGGACAGGGTGTGATCCCCGGTACCCCCACATCGGAACACGGGGTGATCCCCGGTACCTCCGCCCGGGACCCCCGCCCGGGACACGGGGTGATTCCCGGAACCCCCGTCCGGGACCGGGGGTGATCCTCGGGACCCCTGCCCGGGACCCCCGCCCGGAACACCGGGAGATCCCCGGGACCCCCTCCCGGTTCCCACCCTCCATCCCCAGCTCCTGCTCTCTCCCCCCGTCCCCCGTTTCCCCCCGTTCCCTCCCGGTATCCCCGGTATCCCCGTCGTGCGCGGTCTCACCGTTGAAGCGGGCGGCCCTCACCGCTCCCTGGCCGCACTGCAGGGTCTGCACCCGCTGCCGGGGCAGCTCGGGCCGGGCTGGCCGCGGCCTCGGGAACGCCATGGTGGGACCGGGGATGGCACCGGGGATGGCACCGGGGGCGGTACCGGGGGCCGGGCCCCTTCCGGCGGCGGCGGAAGAGGCGGCGGTGGCGGCGGGGCCATGGCGGACCCACGGAGACCCGGCAAAGTGGCCAGGTGGGACCGCGGGCAGCGGGGAGAGAGACCCGACAGAACCGGGGAGAGATCTGGGGCACCCGCGGAGGGTCCCGGTGCCCCGTCCCGCATGACGGAGCCCCCTTACCCCCGCCAGGTACAAACCCCCGGCCACCGAGACCAACCCGGCGCTGGAAGACCCGACCCCGGACTACATGAACCTGCTGGGAATGGTGTTCAGCATGTGCGGGCTGATGCTCAAGGTGGAGCACGGCGGGCACCGGGGTCGCGGTTCTGAGGGGAATTCGGGGGAGGGAGGATCACGGTGAGCCCTTGGTGGGGTTCAGCGCCAGCCCCGGGGATCTCCGGAGGGTCTCCAGGGCATCTCGGGGGTCTCAGGCCCCGTCCCCTCGGGGGTCTCACGGGGCTGTCCCCCAGCTCAAGTGGTGCGCCTGGATCGCCGTTTACTGCTCCTTCATCAGCTTCGCCAACTCGCGCAGCTCCGAGGACACCAAGCAGATGATGAGCAGCTTCATGTGAGTGCCGGGGGGTCCTGAGGGGGTCCCGGGCCGCGTTCGGGGGGTCTCTGACACCTCTGTGTACCCCTCCCAGGCTCTCCATCTCGGCCGTGGTCATGTCCTACCTGCAGAACCCCCAGCCCATGTCCCCGCCGTGGTGACGGGGATCCCCGAGGGGACAATAAAAGGGAGTCCTGGCACCGCTGTGCTTCGTCTGCACCTGAACGGGGGCCGGTGGAGCCCCCCGGGAGAGGGGGGAACGGGGAGGGGAGTCCCGGGGGGCTCCAGGGGAAGCCGGGGGGTCCAGGGGGGCTCTGAAGGGCTTCGGGGGGCTCTGAGGGGACTTGGGGGGGCTCTGAGAGGACTCGGAGGGTCTGAGGGGGCTCTGAGGGGACTCGGGGGTGCCGAGGGGGCTCTGAGGAGACTCTGAGGGGAGTCAGAAGTGCCGAGGGGGCTCTGAGGGGACTCAGGGGTCTCTGGGGGAGTTGGAAATGCCGCTGCAGCTCTGAGGGGACTCGGGGGGCTCTGAGAGGACTTGGAGGGTCTGAGGTGGTTCTGAAGGGAGTTGGAAGTGCCAAGGGGGCTCTGAGTGGATTCGGGGGGCCCTGAGGAGAGTTGGAAGTGCCGAGTGGGCTCTAAGAGGACTCGGGGGGCCCTGAGGGGACTCGGGGGGCTCTGAGGGGGCCCTGAGGGAGCTGAAAATGCCGAGGGGGCTCTGAGGAGACTCGGGGGGCCCTGAGGGGGCTCTGAGGGAGCTGAAAGTGCCGCAGGTGCTCTGAGGGGACTCGGGGAGCTCTGAGGGGGCTGAAAGTGC